CAGAGCTAGTTTTAGAGAGACTTCCATTCATCACTGTAGTACTGCAGAAATCCCATTCTTCCCTCAGACTCTTTTTCAAAAACTCTTGTTAAGCAGGAATTATATCTGCAACTAGCACTCTAGTTCACTTAATGGGTAGTGATGGCAAAGTTCATAAGTTTATTAAGTTCTGATTTGGATGGCTACTGAGGAAAAATAGCATATTGCAATTTTAAACTTAATTTTTATCTCAGTCTATGCATAAATCTTACTTCTTACTGGTGTTATGATTGCTTTATTGTAACTGAAACAACCAAACCTCAAATTAAGTTTTCTATTTCACCTGTTTAGCTCCTAAATTCATGAAGCTGTTGTCTCATTTCCTCCAGAGACAACCAGGCATGAAACAGTAATTCATGTACTGCAATAACTGTATGTTTTTCATATGCTGCCTGCAGGCACAGTGAATAGGAATAAAAATTGGAACGAAACACCAACAGATCTTGCTCTGTTCTCTGTATCTATGCTTTTAGCTCCCACTCTCTGATTATTTGTTACAGTTCCTATAGCTCTGGGAAATGGCAGACACAGATACTGGGAATGCAGCAGCCCTTCTCCCTTCAGGGTTTCACTCCCAGGGTGAGAGGAAGGATGGCAGAATCAGCATGCTGTTCCCTCCCCTTTTCCCGGGCAAAAATCAGTGGCTCATGGAAAATTTCATACCAAGAAAGTCACAAGTGGGTATTATTAGGAAGTCTCTTGAAAAAAGTGGATGAAGATGTACAATCTTAGTAACTAACGTTTTGCATTCTTTGAGCATATTGTATCACTGCTGCCTGTATATTTTTGTCTACAGCAAAGAAGGGAAGCTTCTTTCTATAAGAGCAAATTGATACTACATATTGCACTGCCTCTTTCCCCCTTGTTAACCAGTGGGCACAAAAGGACTTTCTTCCACATCCAGGCTCCTCTTTGCAAATAAGGGAAATGTCCTATCGCTTCCCATATCAACTGGAAAGTATATGGGCATCAAGAACCCCAAAACCAGACAGCTTTCTGCATGTCCTCACTACTAAACATATTATTATCCTCTCAGAATGGATGTTTCCAAGGGAACAAGCAGAAAAGAGGATATGAGAAGCACAATTGTAAAAGAGAAAAACAACCCCCAAAAATCTACACTTTATTTTTTTTCAAATTTACATATATTTATGTTATTACATTGCAATTATGATCCATGGACTTACTATTTCAATCATTTATTAACTGCCACAGTTACTTGAATTGCCAAGATTAAGCCTCTATCATGATAATAACCGCATACTCATAAAGAAATTGCTATTCTAAAAAAGCATATCTAAATAGACAATAAGAAGCATCAATCTCATGCTGATAAAAAAAACTAAAATCAAAAAACAACAGCGAAACCTGCAATATTCAGAGCAAATCTCTACCAAAGTCAGGAGCTTGAAGGCTGTGAGACAACAGCAGCCACTGCAGGATCCCTGCTTGAAAACAGTTTCCTCAGAAATTTATGGTGTACCCATAATTTTACTGTTTCCTTGGATAACGTAGTGTTTTTTTCGGCAGAAGTGTCTGGTTTTGTACTTCCTCAAGAAAGTCACCAAGCTATTTTGACTAATTTTTTTTTAATAATCTTTAGTGAGGCTTTGAAATAGACCCCTAGGTTTGAACAGAATTCATAATATATTGGGCTGGAAGTTCAAACCAAAAAACCCCAAAGCCGAAACAGAAAAGACAGAAAATTGCATTTCCAGATAGCCTTTGCAGATTACTAGACAAAGGCTGTTCATTCAGCTTTGAGCAGAAAATTGAACCAGATGACCTTCTGCAGTACCTTCAAACCTGAATTATCCTAGAGCCTTATGAGATCCCTAGGTATGTTTTCAGAAGTCACTTATGACTTCATTTACATGAAACATATTACTATCTTCCCTCAGACTAAGTAGAAAGGCAGTGATGTTATTACCTGTAAAATCACTCTGAATCCCTGCTGCCATCAATGATTTTAAGCTGTTTGCTAGGATGTGGATGTTACTTTGCTTGGATGAAAACTCATTATTAAGAAAAAAAGACATGGACATGAAACAAAAGTCTTTAAGCCTAAAACTCATAATGGAAGAATGAGAATTCTTAGTTTGCACAAATTTTCGTATATCCCTCTGAAATCACATGACAATGAGAATTCTTTGCGTGCTGTGCCTGCAGCCAAAAAAACCTCACAATGAAACAGGCTTATTAATATGAAGGCTTTTCTCAAACACAGAATTTTGATGTAGTTTCTGTTTCATACCAAAAATGTTATTTAAGCTATTATTAGCAGCAGAATCAGTGGAATTGTACATATCTCTACCTTGTCAGGAAACACCACAACAATAAGCATCAAAAGCTGTATTCCACTTACAGCTAATAATTCCCTGTCATTAATAGATCAATAAACAGCTGGAGTCATGATTTGTTTAAATATGTTAACTGAGAAATTTCTCCCTGGGAAGGAACCATGTTGTAAAGTGACAGGATTCACAGGAGACAAAAACTGAAAAAGCTGAATTCCTTAATTATCTGCTCTGTTTACTCAGTTCTCTTTGATGCACTTTAAAACAAAAGGACCTTTCTATCCTAAGTAGATTTAAAACATCTGAAATGTATATGTGTAAAAGTCAAGGCCACAAACACTATCCTGATCCCATGATGCTAATAGAGGTTTTACTATTGGCTGCAATACCACCTGCACTACCACCTGTATTTCTCACTTCCTGAGAAATACAAAATCTTTTTATTTCTTCTATGTTTTTCCGTTTAATTTCTTTGTGTGGGAACTGTACTGCAATGATTTATATACAAAGCTCAGTGGTGGAAGATGCCACGTGTGCTTTGAGCTGTGCTGTGAGATGAATAGGGTGTCATAATATATTCAGCAAATATGGCAATCCTCCAGAACAGAGAAAGGTATGAAAAATTATTTCCTTAGTTTAGAAACCATACACTGAAGCCAAAAGCCCATGGAAAGAAAATGTATTGGACTCTTTCCCACTAACACACAAATCACTGTTGTTCTATTTGTACAAACCACTACAGGTGTTATGCAAACACTGTAGTGTGATTTTTTTGTTACTGTCTAGGTAAAAATAATCTTTGTTGCTTCTTTCTCTTGCTTAAAAGGAAAAAAAAAACAAACCCACATTACAGAAAATCTGTTGAAACTCACCTTCCAGACAAAAAAAAAAAAAAAGGCTTATAAAGAATTTCTAAGAGAAATGATTTTTCCATATAAAAGGTGAAAGCATGAAGAAGGAGATACCTGCAAAGTATGCTCAAAATTTTCTAAGAACCTTAAAAATTTAAGTATTTGAAACTGCTTGTTCCTTAAAAAAAAAATAAAAATCAGCAAGTTATTATTTTTTGTGCTGCTTAATTGTCCTTTAAATCTAGAAGCTAGGGTAAACACCTGCATATATGTATTATATATGTATTATAATATAGACATATATTATAATATATGCAGCATATATGTATTATAATATATGTATTACAGCATATATGTATTATAATATAGACATATATTAACAAGTACAAATTGAAATAATAGCCTTATACATATCAAGAGGAAGAATCTAACCCTGCACTCTGTGCAAACTATGAGCTTTCTAAGCACAATATCTCCAGCTCTATTACCAAATAAATTTGTCTTCTAAATACTTGCCAAAGCTGCATTCATATACAGCTTTTCTGAAGCATATGCAAGCAGGGAGCTTATATCCATCAGCAGAATCTAATCAGAGCACCTCTAGTTATGAACATGATTCAGGATTCTGTAAGGCTCAAGAAAGAAGGCTCAAGAAAGAAGAAATAATTTTCTACATTGCAGGGTCTCTGTGCTACGCTAAATTAAGCAAAATAACAGCAACAGAGACAAAGCATGCATTAGAAATAGTTAAAAAACAGCAGGGAGGATCGAGAGGAGTAACAAGCATTACAGTGTCTATTAACTAATGGAATGCTTATGGAAATAGGAATAAGATACACATTCATTCCAAATGAATACTTATCTACAGCACCATAAGAAAATATACAAAAAAAATTTATTTACACTAAAGTATAAAAGTGTAAGCATGCAGCCACTAGATTAATCTGAAGTGCATTTGAATTGCTCTTATCACAATGAACTCAGTTCACAATCATGAAAATGTGTTATATGTTTCCACTTATAAACTAGTCTTCCCTAAGTACCATTAAGATTTATTCAACATCAAAATCTATAGTACACAATTAGAACATATATAAAGTACTTGCTGCATATTAATACAGATTTTAAAATATAATTCCTTTGTGCGCTAATTCTGGAACAAGAACTGATACTTTTGTCTTTATTGGTTACAGGTAACATTTGTTGAGGAGGCACATACAGAAAGGGTCTCTTTTCCAGTAAAATTACACAGCAAATTAAGAATCTTACACTTAATCTACTTGTAGGTAATAGCATATAATTTCTCACAAAATTGCATTACTGACCATGCTATTCTCTACAACATAGAAGGCATCTGATTACCCACAAATGCTCTGCATTTAAGAAACTGCTTCAAAAGTGTTAGTGGAAAAATTCTAACCTTCATTCAACCAGTGCCCTTGCTGACTGTAGCATATGAAAGCTGACAACCAGAAAAACAGGATAAAGTTCAAAGCAATTTTTCAGTGCCTCTATTGATTAAACTTTAAAAGTTACTGTGTTTACTGAATGCCACCTGCTTTAAGGAGCAACAGATCTGAGAGGAGAACACACAAACACTTGGTGCAATACCAATCATTTTAGTAGCGAGCAAACAGGCAAATTTTCTTAAGAAAATAATGTATTATGTATTTTCACCCTCTTTGTCAACTTTAACAATGGAGGACAAAAAAGTGTGTTCAATGAATGGACTTACCTAACCACAATACCTGTTAAATTGTTGAGCTAAAGCTCTTTAACATTGTATTTAATGGATATCCCATTCTCAGCCTACCTGGTGTATTCAGCAGCCGTGACATTTTGCAAGAATAGGAGATAAACTGCTCACAGTATTCAGCACTACTGGTAATGGCAGAAATCTGGTCCATTGCGGCACTGTAGTTAAGCTGCAGCACAGATAACTTCTCCGGGCTGTTGCCTCCCACAGAAGTCTGCACTTGCAGATCATGGTACACAGTTGTCCATACTTTATCCTCTGAAAGAGAGGGCAAGAAAGACAAGACAAGAACCGGTAAGAGACAGACAGTGGAACTGAGTTCAAATAAATTTAGGCCTTTGACAAAAGATAAAAGTGTTCTGCTAGATATTTGTTGAGGTGGTAGTGGGGAAGGAGGGCACTGCACATGAAAAGGTCATTGTGTGACAGCATAATTCCAACTATGAACTGATGAAGGGAAGAAACTCACCTTTATGAAAAGATACCAAATGTACCACATGAGAAGTCTTCCTTAAACAACTGATGCTTACAGTAACATATGGAACTAATAAGGATTAACTTTGATTAGAAAGGCAGAAGCCTGATGCCCTAAAGATTCAAAGCCTTTATGTGAAGAACCTTCACTGTGTATGGTAAATTGCTGTGGGCTGGAGAGCAACATTGCTTTAGTAAAGTAGCAGTAAAGTAACAACAAGCATGCACCAAATTCTCATGTGGTTACACATTTAGCAATTAACACTGAAATTTTTTCCACATTTTTTACCCAATATATGTTCTAGGCTAAAACAAAATTACTGCTTATTGAGACTTAAATATTTTAAAACAGCAGCACCATATAACTTTACTGATTATGGTTATGGTACAGATAACACCATAGGAACTAATCAAAGTAGAATGGAAATAGAAAATCTTCAGTTTAGATGTGAAAAGGCACAAAGAAGGAGGAAAGAAAACTTCAATTTTTTAAAGAAGAAATACAGCAATACTGGCCAAACCTCAACACCTCCAACAAACTTTTTTTGCAAGGTCATACCAAAAGTGTATTATATCCAGCCCAGAACAATGTATGCATTATATTTCTCTAAACTACTGAACAGTAAGTCCCTAGAAATGTTACAAATGTGGATCATTTGTCAATAGTTACCAGAGAAGATTTAAGATGAGGTATTATAATAATGAAACAGCACATTCCACACTCCTTTGGTAGCAAGATTTGTTGAAGTTTTAAGGGAATTTAGAAAGGAAACAAAGACAAAGCACAGAAACTTTGCTGTTATAGACCAACCATTTATTTTTCTTAGAGGGACATTCTACTGAACCAAAATGAAAAAAAAAAAATCTGAGTAATATAGGGCTTCAGAATGAAAACTATGAAGATTCAGTCAATATTATTGATACTGTCTTCCTGTAAGAACGCTATTCTATCACTTACGTGTGAAGAATTTTTAAAATTTAGGTTGACTGGGTACCACTCTAAAAATCCACTATCTCAGCTGATATGTACTACTCATATTGTGCACCTCACACAGACAAGGGCTGAAATAGATCAATTATCCTCTGTAAATAAACCACAGAAAATTCTCTTTTCGCTATACATTAACCTGAAACACATTACCACAAAACTTCCTAGAAGTGAATCAGATTTTTTCAGTAATATTTGTCATGTAAGGTTCTTTCACATTTTAAGTTGATTTTCTGTGTTAATTTTTCTGCCTTTTATATTTCTACCCCTGAGGGCAAAGTCAAATAAATCTATCTTGGAATAAAAAATGCAGAACCTTAAAAACATCACTAGGAATCTACTCTGGTGCCTTAAACTGGCTTGTAGGAAAGCCCAGATTCCCAAATGAGTCAGGCTTTTTCTCCAGCTGTTCTGTCAAGCGACACCACTGACCACCATTGTCCTTCAGAGATTCAGAAAAAAAACACACCCACGCTGCTGACTTTGCTGTATTTATCACAAAAACAGACTCTCCACGGAGATCACCTGGCATTTTCTAAGTATACTAATTTGCCTGACAGATGCATCTTATAGTGATAAAACCCATAAAATGTAGTGCATTGCAGTATGTTTTCAATTCTTCTATGTAAATCTCTTGCCTGTTAATGCAAATCTCAGTCATTCTAAAATTTGTGGCCTGCAGTTTCATATTTTAACTATAAGGAAACACTTTACCAAACTGACACACACTCAAAAGTTCTTCAGTACTTCACCAAGTTCACAGGAATGTGCTCACATACACTGATGAGTTTTGGTGCAATCCAGAGTAAAGATAGTTCTCCACATTATGATTATCCTTATCTCCAGGATTCTGTACTCTGCCTTATTTTCCAGTCTTAATTTTACTGCATAGTGTTAGGCTATTTTGGATTATATTGGAATCTTGTGGATCCATGTGTTTGCAACTGATATGGTGTTAAGTCTTTCTAATCAAATGTTCAGAGATAAGGTAAGCAAAGCAGACAAATCCTCCACAGGTTGTACACATGACTAGCCAAATGAGATGAAATTCAGCATGTGATGCAAGATGGTTATTATTTTAATAGTCATATCCTTAGTCCAATGCTCTTTGTAAAACACAGCAATATTCTTGCATTGAGAAAAAGAAATTAAAAAATCAGGAGAAAGGAATCCTGCACTCAAGTACCAAGATTTTTTTTTAATTGTCAGCTGTCAAATTATATAGAGAATATGATCCAGTTTTGTTAAGAGCGTCATATGGAAGCTTACTGCAGATTCATTTTCAAGAAAGGATTGAGGTAGTTTATACATTCACTGACAAAAATCTCTCATTTGTGGCAGAAAACACTGTACTTGTAAGAGCAAAAAAGCATCAGCAAGGAATGTACTAGGACAGTTAGAGTCTCATATTGGATTTTTGATCCAGCAAAGACTCCTAGACTAGCCACTAAGAAGGTGCAGAATGTGACTAGCAACAGGAATTGTGTTAGGCACTATGTTTGAGAAGGAATTTTCCTTTGGATAGTAGATTCTAGCCAATATACAGTCACTTTCCCTCCAAGTCAGGAAGCTTATTCTTTACTGTGGCAGACTGTACTAAAAATGATATAAACATACTCCTGTCAGTCAAATGCATCCTCTGAACAACTTCAGGACCTTTCTGTCAAAATACAAGTGCAACTAATAGTTAAGTGCTTGTTGCACCTTGCAATAGATCTTTTTATTAATATACAAATATATCTGCATAAAGTCAATAGTCTTTTACAGAAAAGCAACTCAATCTCTTCCTGCTGTCTAAAAGATGATGGGAGATTGATTAGGATACATCTGGTCAGGTAATGAAAATAAACGTAGATCTTATTTCACTTGCAATTAATTTTTTGATAATCTGGCTCAATAGACCCATGAACACATTCAGCAAGCTGTCTTGTCTAAACTCTGGAAGCTGAAGTACCTGTGCCTGCAGGTCAGGCACAGAGAGAGGGTGGAGCAGAATTTGCAGCTGGTGTACAGGAAGGAAGCTTTTTCTCTGAGTAAGGAATGCTCTTCACATGTTTTCCTGATTTGCCTGTAAAGCACTGCCATGACACAAGGACCAAAACTGTACGGAATGGTAGGGCCTTTCCTGGGCTGGTAAAACACATTAATAGGGTAATGTGGTCACGGACAAAAATCCATCTCCTCTCTACACCAAATACAGACTCCTGAATAAATATAGTTATATATTTGTGGGGCTGGTTTTGAGGTCTCTGGAAAGACTCAAAGGAAATAGATGCCAGGCAGAAATCTCAACCTTATCTACTGAGTGCTGATTACAAACTGTTTTTTGCCTTTTAGTCTTAAAAATTTGTTAACGTGTTTATACTTCCCATGGAAACCAGCTAGACTTTATAACTTGAAGATAAGGCAAATTTTCATATTTTCAGTTTCTCAGAAACTCCTTATTTCTTGAGACCAGTCTTGAGAGAGATGGAATCAGTACCTGGCTTGTAGTCACCTTCCATTACAGAAAAGGTAATGCAAATAGTTCACACTATCTCAGGTATCTGTATCTTCACCATTTATGGCATTGTCGCCATGTAGCTGAGAACAGGATATGGTATTCATAGTTAATATATCCTTATTTTCTGTCAATAGTATACAGAAGTCACATTTAAGGTACACAGAAGTGAAAAATCTGTCCTAGTTAACAGTAATTTGATACGTATTCCTGGCAATTACTGTCACCACAATACTGGCATGAGTATTTCCCTAGTACACAAGCAGTTATTTGAAGAACACCTGGCATGTGGCTACTGTTAACCACAAGTGTTTAGACACAATTTGTCAGCCACAGCTGTGTGCATGACTTAGGCACCACCAAAATACACTTCCCCTAGACATGGAAGTATATGAGCTCCTCTAACTAGGCTGATTCTAGCTTCCTCACTGGAGGACAGAGTACCAGCAGCAGCTAAGTGCTAACACTTCAGGAAAATAAGGGCCTCCAAGATGACCACTTCTTCATTCAATTGCATATCTTAGAGGTTTTTTCTAGTGTGTTGCAGTTGCACAGGAAAAAAAAAAAAAAAAAAAAAGAAAAAAGTGGTTCTTCCATTTTTTTCTTTTTAGCAGTGAAGAGGAAGCGTGATTTTACTTGAATAGAATGCCAAAAGCCAGTAACCATAGATTCTTAATAGAATTCATAATGGTTTTCACTAAGAACAATCTAATTAGATCCAAACTGCTGATAGATTTGATGCAATTATAGAGAAAATAGGTTCCCTGAATTTAGTCTGTACATTATTCTTTGCTGAAACTGTTCTTCTCTAACAGATATATGTTGTAGTAAGATTAAGTTCCTTAATTTAAGAATATTTTTAATAAGTAAATGACCATTAATTTCCTTAAAATGACAATAAAGTCACACAATTTTTTTTTTCTGAAAATACTTTTCAGTTGCAATCACTGACTATGACCTATAGTTTTACCCACTCACTACTCCTTTTTCCAATAAAAATTGAAGTAGGTGGCTAATAAAATAATCAATAAATATTAGTAATGGTTCACTAATAAAAAGAGAAATGAAATCAAAAATTTCCTTGTTCACCAGCTATTCAAGTGATCAAATAAGATATTAACATAAGTGATTTTTCCCACTTAATACTCAACATATTTCATGATGTTATGATGATATTTATCAATACGCTATTGAGTATTTTGCAGATAGTCAGTTTCTGCTACTACTGAACTTTCTTCACTCATTTGCTTGCTGCTCAGTTAAGCAAGAAGGCTTGCTTCTCACCAACAAATGAAG